TGAAATCCCTAATCAATAAAAAGGCAGCACAAACACACACACACACACACACACACACACACACACACACACACACACATGTCCATGTCTTTTTGACAAGACTTTATGTGAAAAAAATACATATCAAAACCACTTATTCCTTTGGTTTTCCCCGCCCCCAGGACTTTGCATATATACATTTTAGAAGTGAGACAAATGAGCTTCTAGCACTTACCAAGTTTTACTGTGTCTGTGGTGCCACTAAGCCAAGCACCCCAGTTTTCTATCCAACACCCATCTTAAGAAGCACTTCAAGTCACTGGGATGGAATTTAATCAGGCTTGAAATGCTAGGAACAAAAAGAAAGCACATATATCCTCCTCGAAGCAAAAGCCCAACAGGATATACACCACGGGGGAAAGTCTGAACATCTGAATGTCAAAGCCAGATAACAGTGTGCTGAGTTCAGAAATGATGGGTGGGTGGTTTGCAGCACAGGCAGTACCATTTAAACGAAGGAAGTTGTCAGAAACATTTGTCTACTTGGAACAAGTAAGCACGTTGAACCAGTGGCTCCCAGTGTGGTCCTGGGATTTCTAAACAACAGGAAGACAGGAAAGGGGATCTCACTGACTGATCTAGGGTGGTTATCAAACTGGCAATGGACAAAGGTGTGGGAGCTCAGAGAGGAGCACTCTTCCTTCCTCAGAACCCTGAGGTGCCTTCTGTGTTGAACTCTGATGTTGGTGGCCCCTTCCCTCTCCTTTTCCTCTTCCTTTCTCTGCAGATCTCCTTTGACTAGGTCTACTTTGTTTCAAGGTCATAAGCCAACTTCCATCCAAACATAATTCCAACTGTGTCTGTCAGTTGCCTGTAAGACTATTTCCTCTAGATGTCAAAGACTCAAAATGTATGTGATTTGAAGAGGAAGTCTGATTATTTTCCACCTCCCAGTTTGCTCTTGCCCTACTTTTTATGATCTCATTTCGTTCAGACAATGACCTGGAAGTTGTTGGTTCCTTTCTTCCGTCCTTTGTTGTCTCTGGCCCCCTCTAATCTACCACCTTCCAAAAATATTTTCACAACATCCACACCTACCATGACGCTATCTTTATACAAGCCACTTCCTTCTCATCCCAAGACTTCAAGTGCTTTCTAGTCATTCTCCTTCCTTTCCCCATTCTGTCCTCTTCTAGCCGTGGTCTGATCACTACTCACCAAGCCATTGTCATCATAAGAAGTAAATTAGACCTGTTCCTGTAATGCTTCAGGTCTCCCCTATATGTCCCAGCATACACAGAAGAAACTCTAAACTTTGTGCCCTGCTTCCAAGAGCCCACATAATCTACCCCACACTTACTTTTGTGTCATCTTTGGAAATCTTTCTCCGTAGATCCCTACTTTGAACAACCTTTTTGTTTCCTTACATGCCAAGTTCATTGCTGTTCTTGCAGTCATGGAAAGGGGTCTTCCCTCAGACAGCAATGCCTTTTCCTCCTACATTTCTATAATCCTCTCATCGTTAAAGTCATAGATCAAGCATCTCAGAGAAGAATGTAGTTGCTTCTCTTCAATAATATGCACAAACAAATAAATCTTAATAGTCCCTGTATCACTGTTTCATTTTCTTCTTTGTCTAGTTGTTTTATATTTCATTTTCTTTATGTGTTTGCTTCCTCTCTGCCCTGAAATATAGCGACAATAAGAATGAAGATTTTTGTCTTTCCTGTTGACTGGCACTATCAGGATAATGCCTGACATGATTTCCTTTCAAACATCAATTGCCTGCCTAATTGACTGCAGTGGAAGAGGGAGCTTTAGAGGCAGACTGTTAGAAGCCTCATTAAAAGTATCTCGCATCTAATTCTATTTAATGGGAGAAAGGGCCATAGCCAGCATCAGCTGTTTGGTAGCGGGAGCGATGTCTAATGGAACAACTGTTTTTTTTTAAAGAATCTTAATAGCTTTATACTTGGGATCAGGGACTGAATGAATAGGCTCGGGAGCTCTTCTGAACATGTACTGTGCTTGCTGATGGTGACAAGATTGTGTACAGATAAGATTGTGGAAGGGGGCCCACTCATCTGTCCTGCTGATTGCATGATGAAGGATTGGGAGACTAGAGTTGAGAGGTAGCATTAACATAGCAATTGTGGGAGAAATACAGGATAAAGCAAGGTAGAAGAGAAACCAGTTACACAATAGAGATCAGTTCCTGTACAATATGATTCATGCTTTCCCGAGGATTTACAATGTAAAGATGGAGCAAACAAATTCTTAGCTAAAAGGAATTCAAGTTCTTGAATTCATTTTACTCACACCTCCTATTCAAGCTATTATTCATTTTTAATCCTTAAATAATGTCAGCTATGAGAGCATTACTTAGAAATACAGACTTACTAAATATATAATCAGAATAACAGGGTAAAATGCTGTTCTTCCTGTGAAATTTATCTCTTGAAATTGTTTTATTCCTTCTGGTGAACACAAGGTGAAACTATTTTGAAGGTCTTCAATGGTGAGGACATAAAAGAAGATTGGAAATGACATGGGGGAGGCCATTTCTAAATATATTTTTAAACTGGAGGTCATTTACAGTTTTAAGGTTAGGGTTCAGAGCATCCTCAGGAGCCTTTCTGACAATGTTGATCAGGCTTCTTTTTCAAAGTCCATCTAGCTTTCATGAGTTTTTCCACGAAACTTTCTAACCAACACATGCACACAACACACGCACACGTACATACACACACACACACACACATGCACACACACACACACACACATGATGTGGGATTCCCCTCTGTATGCTATGAATATGTTTTATTACATTGGTTATTAAAGAAGCTATTTCAGCTAGTGACTTAGTAAAGTCAAGTGGGAAATCAAAACAGAGATATGGAGAGAAAGTAGGCGGAGTCAGGAGCAGCTGACTGAAGGAGAAAGATGCCAGCTGCCAGCCAGAACCTTCGCTGTAGGATAGAACCTTGTGGTGATTCGCAGATTAATAGGAATGGGTTAATTTAAGATGTTAGAGTTAGCGAGGAGTATGCCTAAGCTATTGGCCAGGCAGTGTTGTAATTAATATAGTTTCTGTGTGGTGATTATTCAGGCCTGAGCAGCAGGGAAATGAACAAGCAGTCTCCATCTACACACACACACACACACACACACACACACACGCACGCACGCACGCACGCGCACACACACGCACGCACACACACACACGCACACACGACTAGTTATTATCTTTCAAATGCATATCTGCTGACATCCTACATAGCTTGTGTGGGGAGAAGGATCAGCTTCTTCTTAGGCTAGAGTTCCATGGTGGGATTTAGTTGGAAATTAAATCAGGAAAAGTATTTGAGGGCATAATTATTCTCTAATGCCACTCCAAACAGTTTTTGTTTTGTAGGTCACTGTGAAATCTTGAAGATTTCTGAAGAGATGGATTTAAGGATCAAATTTATATTACAGAAAGATAACACTGGAAACAGTGAGAAAAATAAAGTTGAACACAAGGTGAAACTATTTTGAAGGTCTTCAACGGTAAGGACATAAAAGAAGATTGTAAATGACATGGGGGAGGCCATTTCTAAATATATTTTTAAACTGGAGATCATTTACAATTTTATGTTTGATTGGGGGTAGATGGTGAGAGGTTCCCTTGTTTCTGGTTTTAGCAACCTGTGGGAGAATGATACAATTAAGTTAGGACTGTGAACAATGAATAGCTGTCTTGTTTTGTGTGTGTATTGTGATTTGTTTTTGTGGACAGAGATTATGATTTAGATGTCAGGCCAGGCAAGCGTGAGCAGAAACCCCGCACGCCCACGTGAAGACACGCAGTCTTCAGAAATGGTGCTGTGAGGTTCTACGGGCAGGTTCAGATGAGAGGAAGTTCATTGTACTGAAAGCCATGGACGCAGATAAATGAGGCCTGAGCGAGCGGGGGAGCTGGAAGAATGTCCTGGGAGAACTTTGGTGTGTGGTTCCCGTAGTTAGGGAGATTGCGGAGAGCGCAGAGCAGAGGAATGGGCTGATAATGAGTTGGAAGAAGGAGGACCATCGATAAAAAGAGGACTTGTGAAGCAGTGGGAACAATGAGGCTTCAGGGACAGAAGAATTGGGCTGAGTTATGAGTAGATAGGAAATCACGACTTGTCAGAGGTGGAATTTACGCAAAAGTTCATGGTCTTTTGTCTTTGTTGCTCTGAGGTGGAGCTAAGAACCCCAGTTCCTAAGGGCCAGAAGTTAGACGGCTCTGCTTTCTCTTTCTTCTTGACTGCAAGCATCAGCAAGCTAAAGAAGAAGAAGAAGAAGAAGAAGAAGAAGAAGAAGAAGAAGAAGAA